TTGGAGTTTTTAACTTTGAATCACTCATTGGAGTCACTACAAAAATTTATAATAATTTTTTTTCTAGATATGTTGATTGTTGAGATTAAGGGTGAAGATTATTTGTTGTTAATTAAAACAGTGTCGTTTGATACGCTGTTTTAATCATCGACAAAGAAGCCGGACCCTGGGGTTACATGTCTCGGAGAGCAGTCAAATGTTCTAACAAGCTATTGCTAAGTACAAATTGGAAGGAAGTAGCAAAGAAACCACCTTTTGATCTATGATCACTTGGAACAAAAGTAGTTAGGCAGGCACTATGGTCTATGGGCCACACAATTTCCATCATGAGATTATACTTCTTTCTTTGTATTTGTATATTGATTGAACTTGTCGAGTCCTAAAAGAAAACGACATATAAATGACAAGAGAAATCAGTGACACACAGTGAGTTAAGTGGTTCACGAAGTGGAGGGTTTTGCTAATCTATTTTAATATAGTCTCTTACTTTTAAGTTTTGTATTACTCGGAGAGGAGGAAGAAGAAGGTTACAGTTTTTCGTACACAATTGATCCTTTTGATGTGAAAATGCTCATCTAACGTTACAAGTCAAGAGTTTGTCTATTTACACTTGCAGGCACAATGATCCTTAAACAATGATGGCGTGGTCCCCTAATTTATTAAAATTTTGGAGGGGAATATTTTTGCCGTTAATAACTATATTTTTCAAACCATGAGATGACATTCTAGAAATAACGTCTAATGTTCTTCTTCCCTTCTTTTCCTATGGATTGAACCCCTTTACGTTAGTCGAACTCGTTTAAAAATAGTTAAACTGGTTTCAATTGTGACCGAACTAGTTTAACGTTTGAACTCACTTGATCTCCTCCGGAAGGTCAGTCACTCTATCCATTAGGTCAACAAATCCCCTCTAAATCTATTTTCTTTGATGGTTTTAATCTCAATAACGTCGTGAAACATGCAAGTAAAGGGCTAGGAGAGAATCATTTATAATTTATTAAACAGATATGAAGGATCTATTGAGAATGATTGTGACTGATTTGAAGATTGAGAAAAGATAACGAATTTCTGTGTTCATATATACATTCTTTGACCCAGTGTGCAAGCAAACATTAAAACACACACGTCATAGTACAACAGCCTGCCCCCACACGTTTAAGCAACTTGTTTTTTTGTGGAAAAATGGTAGCCACTGCCCACATCTAGAAGGCGTGAAACCATGAAATTAACAGTGACACTAACTCACTTTCGGGACCATAGCATTGCAGCTTCTTGGAACTGAGAAAAAATAGATTTTTAGCCCACTTTGGGTTCCATCATTCGAGTCTACATATCTACTGCCACGGCCCAGCTCATGTTTAAGTTATGTCATGTCAAAATTTGTTTAATTTATATTTCGTTTATTTATATTCGAATATACCGTATAAGTCATTTTTAATGGATTTGTGTTGTGTTTAATCAATTTTGTATTAACTTATTTATGGAACGAATCTAACAAGTTCATCCGCTTGTCACCTGAAACCCGCTAATAGTTTTCGAAATTCAAAGAGACAGTGCAACCTATTAGGATATAACATGAAATTTCGATGCAATAAAGGTCTTTGATTGAGTAATAATCCTGCATATTGAGGATTCAAGAAGGGTAAATTACATGCAGACGTTGCCTTCAATCTTGTCAATGCGACTGTTTTTATACTCATTTGTGTTGGCAAGTCCATAGCCCGATTCGTTACTCTATCAAACACCAACTAAACAAGTTAAATATATAGAATGAGTAAAAGGTAAGTCAATTTTAATACGATTTACTCATAATATAAACTCAATACTATAAAACAATTTTTAATAGAATCCGTCAACTAATTACAAAATTATCAAGTATGGTTTTAGTTTTGACGACTTCAAGTCATACTCAATTGGCCCGCAAAACGAATTATGTGACCTCAACTTCAGATATGATAAGATTTATTGTCAATCGTCGTGATCGAATTTAAGGTATTTGTCCTTTACAATACTAGTGGGATGGTCTTGTAAACCCCAGCATGACTAGGATAACCATTTCAACCCATAATCAATGTATTACCCAGGTACTTCGATCTAGTTATTTATTATATAACTTTCACCCCCCATATCTTCAACAATATCTCATAATATCATACTTTATTAACTTAAAATATGTACAATTTGTGGGTTGAACTTTTTGTTAAACACTCCTCTTAGGATGGAGAAGAAATAAAGCCACTCTTTATGATGGGCAACTTACATCAAATCAAATCAAATTAAACCCTAAAAATAATTCAAATGATAATAGAAAGGAATTGTAAACTTAAACGTCTTGAATTCAAATTTTGATAATGTCTTAGGCCCAAATCATGAGAGATTTATTCCTCGTGAATATCCTAGTCTCAACGGGAATGACCTGTTTTTGACAAGATCACAAAAAAAATTAGTCGAAATATGCGTAAATTTATCCGAACATTCTTGACCGTTGAAAAAGAAAAATTGCGTCAAATCGGGAATGCATAATGCAGTTGGTGTTGACATTTTCAATATCATAGACATGATTAACACTTATTTAATCACTTAAATATAGCTAGTTTATTGTAGGTTCTGGTTTTGTCAAGTGGATGTAAAAGTGTTACACCACACAAACCTTTTTTTTTTTTGTAGAAATTTTTATTGAGAGATCTAGATTGAAGTCGACTCTAATGAACAAAGATGACGATGGTTCTGGAGAGTTACATTCCAAGTTGAAATAGGATACACGGTAGCATTTGGGTATGATAAGCTGATACAATTGATTAGCAATCTCGTGTTCAGTTGATATGTTTTATTTAAGAGTAATGTTACACTGATCAAATTTTGAAATTAAATTTAGAGTTCAAATGCCATGGCAGTTGATTATTTGAAATTTTTATTGGGGCCCAAATGACATGACACCAATCAAAAAAATCCAAGTCAACTACCATGGTATTTGGGGCTCTAAATTTGATCAGTCTAGTATTACTGTTTATTTAAACGGGTTGTGTTCAAGGGTAGTGGCTATAATTGGTTGTTGCTAAGAGAAAAGAGAGTGACCCGGGAGGAGAAAACAGAGAAAGGGGCGCTAAGAAAGAGGGTGATAGTCGAGTTGAATTTGTGAGTTTGATCCTAGCCAAGTTTGTTTTTTTAAATAAATTCAAAAAATTGCTTAAACTCGACTCCTTTAAAACTCAAGTCGAGCTAAGCTCTAGTAGTTTAACTGTTTTACATATAAATAAGTCGAGTTTTGTGAGTTTGAACCGAGTCTTTTTAGACTCATTTTTTAAAACAAATCGAAAAAATTGTTCAAACATATCTCAGTTAAAACACAAGTCAAGTTTGAACCTAATTTTATCTGAGTCAAGTCTGAATAATTTGTCTCAATTAACATGCCTACTAAGAAATAGGGAGGGGAGAAAGGAGAGAGAGGCACTTGGGGATTGCACGAGAGAGAAATGTGCGATGGATATTTGGGCGAGAAATTGAAAAATTAGGAGGATCTTTCACGGTTGGATGAATTTCGAAGGAATATTATTGAAGTTTATGGGTGATGAATTTTATTTCATACCTTGAAAAAATTTAAGGATTCTCATTTTATACCTTTAAAGAGAAAATTATTCATATTATATCCTTAATGTATCAAAAATATTCTGTTAGATTTTGTTTTTTTTGTTTGTTAGTGTCTGTAATATGATAAATTTAATTTTTTAGAGTATAAAATAATTTTTTTTAATTTTTTAGGGTACAAAATATAATTTTTCCTTTTATGGGCATATACATTCAAAAACAACGTCACATCACCCTCTCTTTTTGGGGTTACGTAGAGCATTTACCAGGAAAATTCTGTTCTTTCATGGTATGATATGAGGATAAGGTTAGGGAAATGTAGAGGTTCCATGATTCAAATCATTAATTTTAAATTTAATAATTATTAATTAAAAATAAAAATTAATTTTTTAAAAATAACATATTTTAATTAAATGAAAAATATAAATACAGTACCCAAAAGTGATATTCTATACGATAACAGATACTATAATATTTTATAATATAAAATATGACAGACTTTAATAAATTTATTCGACGGTCTCAAATAGACTCGTCAAATTACCATTCATATCCTTTTCAAAATCATTCACATTACACTATATCTTTAAACATAGATTACTCATAGTGAGTGTATAAAAAAGAGTTATTTATCACTCTATAATAATTTTGAAACAAAATTGTCAAAATACAATATTTTTAAATTTATTTAACAAACTACCATACTTTAAAAAAAAAGGGGTTTGAAATAAAATTATTGAAATACGGTACTTTTGAACTTATAATCAAATATTTAAAAAAATAAAAAATTTATTTATCAAATTATGACAAATTTACAAAGATAGAGTTATTGATTCTATCCCCGCCTTTAAGTTTTTAGAAGTGAATTAATGGGACTTAACACTCTCTTTTTATATCTGATTGAAATAATGAATTGTCTTTTTCAAATCAACCATTACAAATTGGAGTATAACTCCGTTTTTTAAAAAAATATTATATTTTGATAAATAAATTTAAAAATATGATATTTTAATAATTATTTTTTAAAATGGCGATAAATAACTCGAATAAAGGGGGTGTGCGTGTTTGTGCTCACATGGTGTGCTATCAGCATCACCGTAAGCAAGGGGTTGCAGATGACTTCACCTCTGTACGTCGCCTTCTCTCTCTCTCTCTCTCTCTCTCTCTCTCTCTCTCTCCTACTTGGATCGGGCAACGCGTTAGAAAGTTTGAAGATTCCTGGTCTACTTCTCTATCCCTTCAACTCTGACTTGCCAATGCTCTCTTAACCTCTAAGAAAATTCCTTGCTTTACTTATATATATATACATGTATATATATATATATATATAGAGAGAGAGAGAGAGAGAGGTGTTTCAATTTGGCCCTTGGAAATGGTCAGCAACTCTCTCTCTCTCTCTTTCCCTAGAATTTCCTCTTTTCCCTTTTCCCTTTTCCCTTTTCCCTTTTCTCTTTTCTCCTGAACTTTTGATAAAAAAATCCAGAGTCCTTTTGAGGAAAGGAAATTTAGAGCCATTTGAACTGGTCAGGAATTGATTTGTCTATGCCTCTATATAAGTTCCCCCTGACCTTCTGACAATAATTCATCTCTCTTTGTCTCAGTCAAAAATTCTCTCTTTTCCTCACCATTTCCTCTTTGTATCTCCTCTCTTTCCTACAAACTTCTCCACTGAAAAAACCATTTTCCTCAATTTTAAAAAGCTTCACTGTCTCTCTCCCACTCCTCGTTGGCAACCACTCTTATCCACCCATTTCAAAACTTGATCTGATCATATGCTATTTGAGCTCATTTCACACTACCCAATTTGATTTCAGTTAGTAATTTCATGTGTTTTTCAATCTTCTTCCTCTCTGTTTCTCTTTCCAGTACTTCCTTTCCTCCAACCCATTTGCTCATTGCTTTGTCTTCTTCTAATCTTTAGCCTCAATTGTATAATGTTGCCTACTTGACATAATCTAAATAGCTCTTCACACTCAATTTCCTCCAAACAAGGGTAAGTTGTCTGTATCTCATTCTCTCTCGACCTCGCTATATCGAGAGCCTCGTGGACCGATCAACCTCATCCACCTCACCACGGTTGTTTCTATTCAAAGAATAGTTTAATCTTTGTGGAGTTTTTGAAATGGAAAAGGCCTGTAATTGGGAGCAAGAGACTCTCATAAATGAGCTAAACCAGGGGAGGGAGCTAGCAAACAAGCTCAAGAACTACCTTGACACAATGAAATCAACTGAAAGCTGTGAATATTTGCTTCAAAAGATAGTTTCTTCCTATGATAAAGCACTTTCAATGCTCAAATTGAGTGCTTTAGTCGGAGAGACTTTTCCAGTGACCGGAATGTTGGAGTCCCCTCATTCCACTGCTGGGAGTCCGAGGAGTGAGGGCTCTGACAGGGATTGTAAGGATCAAAGCAACAAAATTATCTTCAAAAAAAGGTGAATTTTGGCCTTAATTAGTTTATGGTGTCTTGTAGTTTACCGAATTTGGATTGAATTTGGTCTAAATTTGTTCGGGGTGTTTTTGGATTTGCAGGAAGATATTGCCGAGATGGAGTGAGAAAGTCACGATATGCTCCGGAACAGGGCTTGAAGGTCCTATTGATGATGGTCATAGCTGGAGAAAATATGGGCAGAAAGATATCCTAGGAGCTAATTTTCCAAGGTGAGAGGCCTCTCTCTCTCTCTCTCTCTCTCTCTCTCTCTCTCTCTCTCCATGAAGTTCATAGCTAGTTTATTATTTTGAATTCAGATTATAACCAAGTTAGATCCATTAAATCAGCCGATATGAACTTTACTAAACTCTTCTGCTGCACCACACGTATTTGATAACACCAATTTGACAATAAATAGGTTGAATATGTATCTAATGGATTTGAAAATCATACGACTTAAAACGCATGACACAATACGACTCACTACCCATCTTCTTTGATCAATCTTCAGAACACTGTACTTGTTCTAACTCGTCAAGGAGCAGCAACATGGACACTTCCTCCAGTATAGGCACAAATGGGTTCACTGACATGTTTTTTATTAGTCTTTAGTCCTGACCACTTGTTCATGAGGCTCTATTCAAGTCTATCATCTATGTGGTCCCTACCATTGATAGTTCCCCAACAAACCACTTTTTAACAATTAATGATCAAGCCATGGCCCACATTTTTGTCCTCTTAGAAGCCATTGGGCCAGGAATCCATGTCAGTCCTATTTTAGTTGCCTGTTTTTTTCCTTGGTAAAGGTCATGTTAATGTTGAGTTTCAATGTACAATCTGCAACATTCAAAAGAAACATGCAGCATATCACTTTTTCTGTGAGATTTATAATACAATGCACCAAAAAAAGGCCACTTTTGTCAAACTTTTTTGATAGGAAAAATACACTTCTAAGATTAAGAATATGGGGCAGAGAAACAGCATACACACACATAGGTAGATGCACTTTGAGGCATATCATATGGTACATAGAGACACATAACATACCATATAGGAGGATGACTATGTATTATTATAGTGGTTACATAGGCTATAACCTGTGCGGTTATTGGTTTGAATTTGAGGATAACTACTTTAAACATATAATGTCAAAGAATTAGGTCTCCGATCAAACCACCCCTCCTCGTATCTTTAATTAACGGGACAAAACTAGGAAAGAACCCTATTACGTACTTCCATCACAAAAATGTTAAACAGTTTACCTGCATGATGCAGAAAGATGAAGCAAGTACAATCACACAAGTACACATACATACAAGCATATGTAACCTTTGATGCCTATGAACTTTACTAAGTGAAATTTAACCGGAATTTCAGGTTTAATTTTTTTTTTTTTCTAACAAGAGATGTTGATATTGCAGAGCCTATTATCGATGCACCCATCGCCATGCTCAAGGCTGTTTGGCCACAAAGCAAGTGCAAAGATCAGATGAAGACCCATCACTCTTTGAGATTACATATAGAGGCAGACACACTTGCATCCAAGCCTCACATTTGACTCCCAAATTTGCCTCACTGGAAAGAAAAAGCCCAAAACAGAACAATGCTCACTCTCAGCCACAGCAGCAAGAAGAAATTCAAAGACAATCACAGGAGATAAAAGTAAACTTTGGTACTGGCCTTAAAGTTGAAATTGAACCTGGTGAATTGGGCATTCGAAAGGAAATTTTTCCCTCCTTTTCCTTCCCTTCCACACCCATTGAGCCCGAAAATTTGGAAAACCATTTTTTCCTGGAGGCTATGAAAGAAAACAATTTCATGGGTACTTATTCTCCCCCCTTTATATCTCCCGCAACATCCGAGTCCAATTACTTCCCATTGTCACCTCAAGAGATGAACAATTTTGGAATCGGCCACCATTTGCAAAGCTCAGAATCCGATCTTACTGATATAATCTCAGCCCCAACATCAGGCACCAATTCACCAATTGGGAATTTGGATTTCTCACATGATCAAGTGGATTTTGATCCTGATTTCCCAGACATCCTTGCATACTTCTCCTAAAGAAAGATGAAATAAAAAACTGCACATGTTGATCATAGGCGGGCACTGAATGTTAGATGAGAAATGTTTTTACCAGTAGTTAATAGTTTCCATATGTAGTGCTATATGGGACTCTCCTATGCTGTTGGGCAAGGGTATTCTCTTTGCTTAGAATTTGAAAATAATGGGCAACTCTGTTCCAATTTTCACTGCAGTATTTCTCAGTTTTTCTTGTAGATTTGTACTTTTTGTTTTTTGGCAGAGAAAGAATAGAGCAAATGTTTTAACGAATCGAATTAAGTTCTTGCTCAATTGTAAGAATTTCCGTAGTTTTCAGTTTTAATTAGTTTCTTTGTTTGAAGATTATCTTATGTCATGAGCCAAAGAATAACAGTTACTAATACATGTTTCACAGTTCATTCTTTTTGCTCTCCTATCATTTGACTCAGCTACCACCATTATACCATAGACATTGCAAGATTTTGGCATTGATACCATGCATAACATGTGCAATTCATCGATTTGTGATACATGAGAAAGCTAGACTCCGAAAAGAAAATTATTAGTAGACAGTTGATCTTATAGTTCTTTCTACATCATATCAGTTGAGATCCAACAGAAAAGAAAAAAAAAAAAGGACCCCCCAAATAACAAAGAAAAAGGAAAGACAAGCTAGTACTTAAGGAAAACCATCCAGCTTTCTTGCGCACTCGAGACTTCCATCTAATATTCCCTTGATATCGTATTTGTATTTGAATCCCATCTCCTGAAGCTTTGTTGAACCCCAAGAGATTTCTCTCCTTGAATCTTCAATAAACCTGAAAATGAAATTTCCATGTTACATAAAGGGATTGAGGTTTGACAGCATCAACAATGTGACCTGAACTTAAGATGTTTACAATGGCTATCATTTCGACAGTTATTTAGAGCACATATTCTAGGTTCTTACTCTTCAGCCATGTCGATTTCTGGGTAGTATTGACGACAATAACTTGCAATCTCTGCTGATGATAGGTAGGTGCTAGCGCATAGAAATCGCCCATTGATGGATGAATCCTCCATACAGAATATATGGGCCTCACTTACATCTTCAATGTGCAGGATTGGAACTTTTCCTATCAATTCCTCTAAAAATCTTAGAGTTTGGTACCTTCCCTCCTTCTTTGCAATTTGTGATATAAGCACACCCATGCTCTCAGGCATTGTAGATAGAATTGTGCCCCCTCCTACAAGGCCACAAGCAAGGGTTGCCACCATTATGCCGCGACCATTGTAACTCAACACCTCTTTCTCTGCCAGTGTTTTTGAATGCACATATCCCTACAGTACAACAACATAATTTTACTGTTACTGTTAGAATACTATCAAATCGATTTGATAATAAATCGATATATTGGTGATGACGAGAAAGTTGGGGTATACTGTCAATCCGTCGTTGCTATAAGCAAATGAGGGATGCAATGGAGACCAACACGATTCATCCATTGAATCTTTGAACCCGGTTCCATCATCTTTCAATGGTGATGCAGCCACCACGGAGGCCGTGTAGACAAGTTTCTTCACTGTCCCTGATCTTATGCAAGATCCCACAAGGCTCCTCACCCCAGCCACTGCAGCCTCAGAAGTATTCTTGTACTGTAAAAACACTTAAAACAGTGTCAAGAAACTAATGCCAAACACTCCTTTGAATGGACAGTAAAAGATTGTAAAATCTGCTCATAAGAGTTGAGGGACTGTTTGGCCAGCACTAAATGATTTTCATCTCCCAAGGATTAGTTTCCTATCACTGTGTCATAGACATTGATATACAAACTTTTGGTAGGGATAGAGGGTATTTATAATCAACCAAAGAAGAACCTTAAGGAACACTAATATTGTAGCACTGTCATTGCAAATCCTTGTAAAAAATGTAATTTTTCTTTGCATTTATTTTTTGGTGCATTACTAAAAAGAAAACAATGAGGATATGTGACAAGTACTTGGATATCAGGATCCATCTCATCCTTATCTCAGCCCCATACCAAAAAACATCATACTTAGTTTTAATAAGTGGAGAGACCGAGGATATGATAATGTCAGTCCAATAATAAAATTAGTGGATTATCTTGTCCCTTGCTATATGGTTAAAACTACCACAATCTTTTATCTTCAAAATATTCTATTTTTTAATCTTGTATGTGTGGGGGTGTGTGTGTGACAGAGAGGGAGAAAGAAAGAGAGGGAGAGAAAGAGAGAAAAGTTAGTCTAATTCTTGGAGATGATACCGAAAGGCATAGAGTTTACATTTCCCAAGTGAGAGAAAATATTCAATTCAACAGTGATACAACATTATCACTGACACGTGTTATTACCATTCAATCATAACCAATTTTATAAATAAGATTCACAAGTCTTAATTATTTGGTTATGATTAGATAGTGATATCACGTGTCATATCACCGGTGTATTGAATATTTTCTCCTACTAACCCCCAAGTGTGGGACCAACTAAGACTTCAAAAATATTAGATAGATTGTACAAATAACAAAGATCATGTTGGAATTATAATACACTAGAAGAGGGATAGCACAATAATCTTCAAATACTAATGCAAAATTTAAAGGGCCAAAAAAATAATTTTATAGACTTAGGGCCCATTGCCCCTTGTTTCTTAAGTGGGTATAGGGGACTTCGTAAGATGGGTTTGGAAAAAATAGTTTAATGGACTCTCAAAAATTTTGATTGGATGAATTTTTCAAGTCATGGACAATAGACTCGGCCTGTAACCTGCCCGACACCGGGTGGGTTTTGGTCAAGCATAAATATGTACTGGATTAACCAATAGACATTTACAAGATAAATATATGATGATAATGATTATACATTCGTGAGTCCTGCATATTTATAAGTTACATACTAAACACAAGTATGAAAAAGATTTAGGGCGGGGCTATTCTCACCCCTTAAATCTCATTTTCACCCCATTTAATTATCTTTCTTCAAACTACTAAGCTTACTACATCTATTCCCACCTCATTAATTACTAAAATCATCCCCTCTAGATTCACTAACTAAAAATTAAATTCATTCAATTTTATTTTAGCCTAATATATAAGCAAAGATCAAAATTTTATTTTAGTTATTATTTTGGTACGAAGATATTTCAAAAACAGAATAAAAATTAATAATTATTCTTAAAATATTAGTCAAAATATTTTAAAACACTTTAAAATATTTCAAAAATATTGGTAAAAATATATCAAAATATCTCAAAATATCTCGAAATAATATAAATCATCTCAAAACATTGAAATTTCGGTTCAATTACAATTTTTGTTTCGATTTTTTTGACATATTTAATACTTTAATTGAATGAGTATAAATGAGGTGAACTTATTAACTAATGGGTGAGTATAGATGGGGAGAATTTAGTAGTTTGAAGTTAGGTGATTAAATGGGGTGGGAAAAGAGACTTAAGGGGGTGGAAAATAGCCCCCACCCTTAGATTTATCAATGAATCCCATGTAAATAAAGGTGGGGTTGGGTTTGGAGAGGCTTTGGAAACCAATCAATCCCTCACCAAAGATCATCCAAACAAGCTAACAATGTTTTGATCATATATCTTGTGTTTCACAAGCAATTGGAAGATTGGATGCCACTCATTATTCGAAAATATCATCCATCAAGAAAAAGTTTTGATGGGACACTTTTGAGAATTAGTCGGAGTCGACACGTGTCCTCAGCATAAGAAACGTGGGTGCTCCCTCAAGTGACACGTGTCTTCGGCACTAAAGGTCTCTTTGAGCCCCTGCGAGTGACATGTGTCCTTGGTACTAAAGACACCTAAGAGTCTTTATCACATGACACCCGTTCTCGGCTCCCAAAGTTTCCTGAGGAGATCTCCAACCAGCACATGTTCTCGGCATTCCTAACGCCTTGATGTTCATTTCTAGACACGTCACCTCGGCTCCAAAACCCTGAGATATGGATAGTGGATTGAAGGTTATCATTACTTGGATCCAAAATTGGTCAGTAATTATTGACTCGTCTTCCCTAAGCAATCAGAATGGCAGAAAGAGCAGATCAATAACCAATGATAATGATACACGAGGTACAAAGCACATAATTAGGGGTCAATGGACAAAGATGTCCCTACTCGCGCAGCCATCACAAAGGGGCATTAAATGACCATTCAGAAGGATGTGACACATTTATTGCTCGACGGACTCTGGGAAGAGTGCATTAAATGCTCAGAGACCCGAGCATTAAATGCAGAGACTTCTTTTCGTGTGACAAGAAAGACATTTTGTCCTAGGATGGTGCTCTACAGGCTTCCTTCCAAAGGGACCAATGAAGGGCTTTCTTTCCAAGAGACTCACCTGTCCGTAATGATTACCTCTATGGAGGTATAAATAGCTCTCACAAATACAAAGCAAAGATACGCAAAACTCACCCAAGCAATAGAACAATGTTTTTTCTCCCCTCTCTCACATGCTGACTTGATTGTCGGAGGGAACGCCGTAAAATACTTCGGCTCCTTTCTAACCTTATTTTTTGAGTGACAAAGTTCATCTCAATACGCTAGGATCGTTCGGACTATTGGAAAGGTAATTCATTACTACTCCTTATACCTTTTCTCACTTCTATTTACCACGAGATAATCAACTTTCCAAGTTAGATTTGTGTTCACCGAGAGAGAGATCTATCCATTCATTTATTGTGCGTAAAATCACCACGCATAATTTGGCGCCGTTTGTAGGAAACGACTAAGTTTTCTTGAGGCAGTGACTATGATGAATACTCGTTAGAAAGGGAAAGGTCATCAGCAAAGGAACGTCGACGTACTGACTTATTCCATATCAAGAATGAATGATCGTGTTAAAAGCGTCAACAAAGAGCCTTTGATGTGTTTGAGGAAAAGAACCCACCAAATTGAACCGAGTCTTGGGGGCAAAACAAATAGTCCCTTGGTCCATCAACTCGACGATTTTATCGAAGTGCGGTTAGGAGATCGATTACAACAAATAAAGGAAAATAATGTGAACATCCTTAATAGACTCGACGAAGTTTTCATTTTTTTGGTGGGGGATCTCAAAGTTTACGACCGTCTAAGGAGCCCTCCGTCAAGGAGGTTAGAGCCAGCGATTTGACGAATTGTCTAAGTGGCGAAGTAGGACACTTCACAGCTCCGAAATGCCCGAGGACCAATGAACAAAACCTGAAGGTCCTAGCCAAGAAGACCAAACATTTTGGCTTGGAATGACCTCCGTCAGAGACTGTCTAGACGAGGGGGTGTGAAGGAGTTCGATGAGAGGTCAACCCTCTCTCTAAAGAACAGAGGAGTCAGGGGGCATGTTGCCCGACGCGGAGATTGGAAGAGGAAGCATCACATGGATGGGGAAGACCTGAGGTCTAAGTTGAATTCTATGAGGATAGAAAAGTCCACCCCCCTCCCCCGACGATGACATGGGTAATAGAGCCATTTTGTTGTCGTTTACCAAAAACATCATAGAGATGAAGGTACCGAAGAAGTTTGTGGTGCCACGGTTCAAAGTTTACAATGGATGTTTCGACCTGAAGGCTCACCTCTGACAGTACAAGTAAATGATGTCCCTATATCACTCAGATTACAGGCTATTGTGTCGAGTGTTCTCAATGAGCCTAGGCTACACAAACATGAAATGGTTTGAGACCCTTCCGCCAAATAGCATAGGATCCTAGAGGGAGCTGACCAGGTAGTTCTCTGCATTGTTCATCACGGGGAGCAAGCGCCCCAAGAATTTCGAATCATTATTGACTCTCCAGTGGAGGGAAGGTGAAACACTCCGTCAGTACGCCACTCGCTATTGGGAAGAGGTGAATGAGGTGGAAAGATGCTTCGAGGTCATGGCAACGGCCATTTTTAGACTTGGCCTCTCTTAGGACATAGAACTTTACAGGTCATTGACGAAATGGACCCGAGTGGACATGAGCGAGTTGATGGCCCGGATCAACAAGTACTCCTGGATAGAAGAAAAGTTGGTAAGGAGTAAAGGTAAAAACTTGGCCCTAAAGAAAAAAGGCAAAAAGAATGAGGGAGACCCTCCTAGGAAAGGATTGGTCCCAACATTGGGGAATTCATTTAGAGGGCTCCACACTGTATTCAAAGAACTCATCTACAAGTTTTTGCATAAGATCAAGAAGGATCCCTTCTTTGAGTCACCACCCAAGGTGCAAGGTGATCTATCCACCAGGAACTAGAATGCAAGGTGTTCATACCACAAGGATGTGGGGCACCTTATAGAGGATTACCGAGTATACAAGTCCTTCCTAGACAAGTTGGTACAAGATGGGTATCTCAAGGAGTACATCAAGAAAGATCTACCGAGGGAGACACATGTCCCCGACGACTAGGCCATTGTCTGCGACAATGTCATCAACATCATCAACGTCTGCCCCTTAGAACAACCGACAACCAACATTCTTAAGGAAGAATTACATTAAGACCTCTAGAGGGTAGCCTTCGCCAAGAAGCTGAAGGAGAAAGATGGGGGCTAGCCGAGTAAGAGGCCCCGGACGGATCAAGGGGGCATCACCTTCTTGAACGTCGACTTGGCAGGCGTGTTTCTCCCCCACGAGGATGCCTTGATCATAACTTTATGGATTGGTGGTTTCAATGTCAAGAGAGTCCTGATGGACTAGGGAAGCTCCTCAAAGGTGATGTATCTCAACATGTTAAGGCAAATGGGACTCGGGTCCAAGGATCTCACCACTATCAAGACACCCCTCGTCGGGTTCAATGGATCATTTATCCTACCTTTAGGGAAGATTACTCTGTCGATCACTGCGGAACCTATAATGATCGACACGAAGTTCGCGGTACTCGATTCTGATTTACCATGCAACATAATCATGGGGCAAACTTGGTTGCACTTGATAAGGACATTGCTCTTCACCTACCATCAAAAGTTGAAGTTCCTCACTCTAGAAGGAATAATGGAGATTTGTCGAGACCAGACTTCGGCAAAGATTTGTTTCTATGCCGCCATGAAAGTCGGAGTCACCTCTAAGGAAAAAGAGTGTGCCTCAGAGGAAGTATTGAACGAATAACAACGACAATCCAGACGGTTGGGCATCGATGAGTCACGGATTGACCCAGTCGATCACTCCATAGAGGATCTTCGGAAGGTGCTCCTAACAGAGCAACAAGATCGTAGGGTCCCGATCCTTGAGATAGAACATATGCTAAAGTGTCACCCTCACCAATGCATAGCAGAAGAGGATACCATCCAGGGCGAGAATCAGTTGTAGTCGCTCATTCAAGGCGACTACCCCCATGATGATTCTAAAGGTATTTAGAAAAAATTGTCCCGGGAAGAGCCGAAACTGGGACAGGAAACGAAGAAGGAAGTGATGAAGAGGAAACCTAAGGCCTCCTTCCATGATAGCTTTGGTATAAAAAGGCATGGCCTCCTCGGTGCCAATAGTGGCACTGTGGCGACCAATAACAAAGTCATCTACAATTATTTTAGGAGGAATGGAGTAGTGGGTCTTAAATTTGGTGATTTGTTGTCGGCCCTTAACAGTGTATTTCCTCGACCTTGAGGGCCTAGCCTCACCAGCCTCGACGTTCTCACTCAGACGGTGTCTCGACATGATTTAAATAGAAAAAGAGAATGTGAAAAGGGTGCTTCCTGGGGATGGGAGGCCTAAAGGTCAGTACTGAGAACACAAGTAAGCAAATTGAAGAAAGATGGACGGTGCGACACTACTAGAACAGAAATGAGACAGAATAAAGGGAGAATGGTCACCAAACAAGAACATGAAAGAAGGAAAATAGTTACTTACCAAATGAGGGCAATTCTGATACAGAAGAGAGGTTGGTGACTTCCTTCGCTGGTAGATTCTGAGGAGTTGGCAACTGTTCAGGCTAGCAGTGGATTCTTCAATGGAACTCCGGTGGAAGACTTTGGATTTTATGAAGATTGAAAAAATGGAGAAGGAGGGTAAGGGTTCTATTTAAATAGGGTCAAGTGCCATGATTGCACATGATAGACGAAGATAGGCGCATTAAATGGGGCCCAAGGAAGGGAAAGCGGTTGAAGGCAAGGGCAAGGGTCAAGCCCTTTCATTTGCTCACGTCACGTTACCCCGTCATACAAAGATCAAGGGATAGGGGTAGTTGATGGGACACTTTTGAGAATCAACAGGAGTTGACACGTGTCCTTGGCATGAAAAACGTGGGTGCTCCCTCGAGTGACATCTGTCCTCGGCTCCCAAAATCTCCAACCGCTATGTGTCCTCAGCGTTCCTAACACCCCAAGGCTCATTTCTAGACACATCACCTTGGCTCCAAAATCCTGAGATATGGATAACGGATTGACGGTTATTGTTACTTGGATCCAAAATTGGTCAATAATCATTGACTTACCTTTGCAAAGCAGTCAAAATGGCAGAAAAAGCATATCAATAACCAATGATAATGATACACGTGGTATAGAGCACAGAATTGAGGGCCAATGGACAAAAATGAGCAACCATCACAAAGAGGCATTAAATGATCATTCAGAAGGATGGGACACATTTATTGTTCGACAGAATTCGGGAGGAGTACATTAAATGCTCAGAGACCTGAGCATTAAATGCAGAGACTTCTTTTTTGTGTGACAATTTAATGCGCCTATCTTCACAGGCTCCACAGGTATTAATGCAGAGACTTCATTGATTCCATTAAGGTATAAATAGCTCTCACAAATGCAAAGCAAAGGTACACAAAACTCACCCAAGCAATATAACAATGTTTTCCTCCCCTCTCTCAATACTGACTTGATCGTCGGAGTGGTTACGTCAAAAAATACTCTAACGCCCCTTCTAACCTTCTTTTTTGAATGGTAGAGTACATCTCGATACACTGGGATCGTTCGAACTATAAAGGTAATTCATCACCACTCCTTATTTTGTTTATCACTTTCGTTTGTCATGGGATTATCAACTTTCCAGGTAAGATTCGTGTTTACCAAGGGAAATGTCTATCTATTAATTTATTGTGCGAAAATCACTGCGAACAAGTTCAAAATTAGTGCTTTTGTGTTCATTTTTGAGATTCAAAATGACCATGTTCTCTTATCAATTAACATAAATATATATATTCTTTTCAATTCTTGTGAAATTTTATCTTATATATATTATACACACACATAGTGTGTGTGTGTATATGTGTGTGTATACATATATATGTGTGTGTATATATATATATATATTTCAGTCAAAAATTAGACCTGAGAGTTTTTGGGTTGGTGTTGCAAGGGAGTGGCCATGTGGACGACAAGTTCACACCCATGAATTGCTGTTCCAAAATCATCAGGATTATATATGTCTGCCTCAAACAATTCCAGTCTTGTTTCTGCATTTGGAAGACCCTTGAGAAGCCCTACCTTTGATGGCTCACCTGCATACTTCCCAGTCAAACAACTGCAAAAGTCTGTGTGTGTGTGTGAGAGAGAGAGAGTGAGAGAGAGAGAGAGAGAACCCAAATTCCTGAGAGTAGCATGGACTATATAGCCTCTCTCTAAGAGCTTCTTGATAAGATAAGAACCAAGATAGCTTGCACCTCCTGTAACACAGACCTTCATGTTCTTCTCCATTATTCAGGCAATCAATTCAAAGTTTGGTTCATGTGCAGGGTATTTGTTGCCTTTTTGTCGTTGAAAAATTTATCCTGGGAGACAAAGAGTGATATTAGAAGAAATACTATTTAAATTACTATACTGTCCCCCAAACAGTAAATTTTAGGAATACGAGGTGCACAAGTTACTAGGCCTGCTTTTTTTCTTAGCAACTTTGGTGTATGGGGAGGACAGGCACCCGATTTTGTCTTGTCTCTCTCAATTTTGGAAATTTTTTATTAATAATTAAACTAGAAATCACTATGGACGAAAATTAAGCATTAAAAGGGTACTAACTCAACATTTTCTCCCCCCAAATCCTCGAATTTCTATAGAGAAAAGAAAAATAAATAAAAGGATTGATCAAATTCTCGTTTTTCTTCCACCTTAAAAACTCTAAACAAGGTATTTTATGATTTATAATCGAGCCGAGTTTGTTGAGAGCTCTTTTTTTTAAACAAAGTTAAAAAATTGTTCAAACTCAATTTGTTTAGTCGAACTCGAATCGAATTGAATTTTGGTCGAATTTGTGGAGAAAAATACAATACTTCATGTGTAAGATCTTTTCATTCGATTATACACGAGCAATCACATGCCAGACCTAGAACAGGGATGAATAGGTACAATTATCTCAATTTTAGCCCAATTTGACTACAATTACCTCTTCTCACAATATGACAATCTAAGTAAGAACCATCCTTTTTTAACCCCCACAACCCAAAATATCTCATGAAGATTAGTGTATTAATTTTATCAATTTTTTTATTAACGCTCAATCTTAAAAGATGATCTCTATCAAGGCAACCCAGACTCTACCAAGCAAATATATGTGATATGTAAATTTAAATAACAAGTGTGTATCAAATCACAAGTGTATATGTAAAAATAATAAATAACACAAGCGATGTGAAAACCCTTCTCAGAAAAAACCGCGAAGAACCTTCTTAGTTCACTAAAGCCTAATCCACTAAATCAAAGTCTCATTTCCTTCATAGATTTCTCCGTCGAAAGTCCCTCTCTGACATTATGATTAGCTTCACTTGTCTCAAGCAATCTTCAAACATTCACACCCAAAACTCTCAGTTTGCACATTCTAATAGGTTTGGTCTTCACTCAATCACGTTAGGTTAAAGACATGTCATTTATATCGAAAACTAAGATATTTATGAGAGATAAATTTCTGATAATTTGACTTCAAAAAATTGTCAAAATTTAAATTTAAAATATCTTAATTGCTCGCAGTCACTTGGAAAAAACCCATTTCACTCCCAAAACTTGGATGCTTAAGCCCTTCCTTAAGGATGACGTATTATTTGCTCTCCAGTGGAATCATAAATACATTGGTCAATTTCGAGAATTGAAACTGTTGTCCAAGTAAAGCAAAAGATGTATAAATTTTCTATTATTTGAAACTATTTATACGAAGATCAGGCGAATGTTGTAAAGTATTCTTAACCACAAAACAAGTTGTGTTGTGTCTTTTTTTCTCAACAATGAAACATCGCGACATGAGAAAAACAGGAGAGAGATGAAGGCAGATCTTTATCAGTCCTACGGACAATTGATGTGGTTTATATTTGTTGCGATCTTGGCCTCAAAAACATTATCACTTCACCCATCTCTCTCTCTCTCTCTCTCTCCTATTGTCCTTCATGTTATTGTATTTCAGTGTCACTCTCTTTTGACTGTTGAAAGCCAAAACATAAGTAAAACCTTAATGACAGGAGAATGCAGTAGTATCCTTAACCACTTAAACAAGTTCACTGGACAAATTCCAACTCTATAAGCCTGTCCCAAGCCAAGGCATGCCTCAAAGTTCGAATGTTAACACAGTCTTCACCCTCTCTCAATACTGAGAGGGAAATATCCCGCCGGCCTTCCTTCCTTTAAACCAAAGAGAAAAAAGAGAAAGAAATATTTTTGGGTTTATCTCTAAAATATGTATTTTTTATCAGTTTAATTTTTATTGTATTAATTTTGTCAATTTTGTTTTCAATGTATTCAATTCATATCACTTTGTCCCCTATATCAACTGATCATTAAGTTTTTTGACAAAATGATGAAGTATTGGACACATGATATCGTCTAAAAAAATGACACATAGTCACTTCTGTAAAAAAAATTTAACAGTCCGTTAATGTGAGAACTAAATTGACACGAATTGAAAATTGACAAAATTCATACAATGAGAATTAAACTGATAAAAAATACATACTTTAAAAACTAAAAATTCTATTGACCCAAGATTATTTTTCTTCTTTTAATTAGTTGATTATTTGTCTTCTTTTAATTAGTTGATTATTTAATATTATTAATGGGTGAGAAACGAGTAAAGAGAGAAAGATGCTTTTTTTTTTAATAATTAATTTATTAATATTATTAACGAGTGAGTTGAATTGTGGAAATTAATTTAATGAAAGGTAGGGCATTACATTTCTATCTTTTAATCTATGATGTTAAACCTCCCTTGTCTTATTTCAAGTCAACGGTAGAGTATAACTTGTGAGATAATGTTGTTTTTATCAATTGATATAGCTAGTTAGGGCATTATTTATTTTTAAATAAGTCATAGTCTCACAAAACCAACCCTTCTTCGTGCAAGAAAGAGGACAATAATGACTAACCTTCCTTGTCTTATTTCAAGTGAACGGTAGTGTATAACTTGTGGGATAACGTTGTTTTTGGTCAAACTTATCAATTGATTATTCAATTTTAAAATTTATTAGTAATTAATCAATAATTTTACATTTAATCATCCAAGAGCGTGACTCTTTTTACTAGTGCGGACAAGTATATAATACGGTACACTGTAGTTTCCAAATTTTATGAGACGGTCAACCCAGGGGACAAACCTCCTAGTTTTATGCAGCGCAACATCAACAATTTTAATGGCATTGAATTCATAAAATGTGGTACCTAGATAGTCTAAAGTACGAGTAATGCTATATAATTTTAATAAATCATAAAATTATAATTTAAATGTATATCATTTTTTAAATGAGTAAGTCTCATTAATTTTTTTTAATAATAATGCTAAAAAACTCAAATTAAACTCAAAAAATTGTTTTATGCTCCGTTCACTCCTTGAGAAGGACAAGCAGCCCAAACTACATAATAGACTTGGTGGTCCAATTACAACCTCATGGTGATAAGCCCGAGCGCTGGCCGATCCAATTAGCAAAAATTTTAGTGCTAGACCTCGAAAGGATTCTGATCATAGTTGTTCAGCACGTCAAGTTGTCACAATAGCAAAACGACTCCATCTCTCTGATAGATGAGATTGGACTCAAGCCAAACAAAGGCAAGAAGTCACCACATTCTTACTTATTTTGTAAGACACGTTGATATGACTTGACATAAAATTCTCCAAAAGAATCCCCAAAAAAAATATATTGTTCAATAACTTTCTTTTAAGCAACTTATTTTAAACAAAAAAACAAGTTCATCAAAAAATTAAGATAAATTTAATTACTATCTTGCAAAAGTGTGTCAAATGCATCTTAGGGCATTTATTATATTTTTTACATATATGGATTGTGTATTGTTATATATGTAATTATGGTAGAAGAAATGAGTAGGCTTCGACAAAAATGAAAGATAAAAACAAACGTTATTAAGAAAAAGGTCCTTAAAAGAATCAAAAATAAATAAGAAAAATACTTCTAAAAAGTTTATCAAATGCTACCTCACATTATTTGGACCTACAAATTTTACATAATATTATGATTTAATGATATGCCAAGTGACATGACTCGAATGAAGAAATCAAGTTTCACAACATTAAGTCAAAAATATTGACGGGACTTTAGACAACTTGACAGCGGTAAATAGATACGTGAACAAATGCAGCCGTTATGTAGCGCAAGTGAAGCTTGAAAAAAGCGTAGAGGGATTATGATCTGAAGCGCCGAGTGCGCCTCTCAGGGCTTAGCTTTAAAAAGGATATAACGATTCATTAATGGGGTCCTAAGTGACTGTGACAAGGTCATTAATGAGCCCTGTATCCCCAAAAAATGTATAGACAATTATCATTATAAGACATTAAGTGTCATAACGTTGACTTGATGTCCTTGGCAAACCTGATGGTTCTTATCCCCGAATAGTGAACGCTCGAGCATAAGTGTGAAACACTGAGCGATGGTATTTAATGACCGAAAATTGGGCCATAAAAGCTCGGGTGATGCCTAGCAAAGATCTACTCGTCCAAGGGGGTTGGTCTTCAGGAGATTTAATGGGATAACACTCATTATGCTTGAATATGAGTGAAGGCCATTAAATTTTGAAATGAGACTCAAAGATCCTGTCATCATTGCAAACTCAACTATAAATACCCTTTAAAAAGTTGGTCTATGGCACACAATTCTAATCTAAAAAATACACTATGTTCATGACCCTCACGCTGATTGACTTGAGCTTTGGACGGAATTAGCTAAATACATATCCAACCCCTTTTTTTTAATCTTTCGTTTCAGGTTCAACGCTATTCAGGATCGTTCCACGTATCACCATCTCAACTCGTTGCAAAAAATCACCCGTACAAATATACATTAAATTTTTTAATCCAAATAATGTTACTCATGTGGCCAAGAAAGCACAGTTTCTTGTGGAATCCATCTGCTCTAAGTAGGAGAGTCTGCAACTTTTGCCACTAATTCATATCCCTCTCAGCGGCTCAGATTAAAGCTCCTCTAATAATATCTACTCTCATAAGAATTCAATTTTTTTTTTTTTTGGTTCAATGGTCAAATCTTCTCAATCTGATCAAAGATAAGTCCTTCACGTTGAAACTAAGATATTCATAAATAATAAATTCCTCGTAACCTAACTCAAAAGAATTATCAAAATTCGAACTTAAGACATCTGAATTCATAACTCATCGTTATTACCACTTGAACTATCTTAAAAATTAGAATTCAAATTTCTAATACTCATATACCATCTTCAAAACATTGTTCGATACCTGTAATTAAACAAGTGAA